CATACAGTATGACCGGGCAAAGCTGAACTGTGTGCGCTTCGATCAGAACAAGCACGTAAACACTTGATGGACACAGATTGACTTGGCTGTAATGGACACATAATGCATAAAAGAGCAAACACACATACCTAAAATGATAAAACACAAAAACACAGAAGGAGTCACACCCCTTCTGGCACCCACAAGCACAGAGTCCTGCAGAAAACAGGCAGCAGGGTGGAAATTCTCATGAAAGGAGTTGTATATTTGGAGAAGACATATCATTAAGATAGTCTTGGGGAAGAAGGAAGGGAGGGAAGGATGCGCAGAAACTTTCCATCTGCTTTTTTAAAGAACATGTTATTGCTTTCTGCGCTGAAGGCCTTTCTTACCCTCCCCTCATCCCTCCCCTCCAACCCACTGAACCACAGCCAAGAGCTGTTAAGACACCAGAATCACTCAAAGGCGATATTAAAACTGGGTGACTTGTTGCTGTGCGAGGAACTAAATCAAACTGTTTTGAAAGATAGGAGCTAATTTGGAAGTTTAGAAATAAGGATGGCAAAAACAGTTTTAGTGTACTGGATTCCTGGCCAAGTCCTGCTCATAATGATGAACTTTGTGTGTTAAAGCTCTTGAAGGAAGTAATCGCCATAAAGTAAAGACATCAAACTGTAAAAAGGAAAGCTAGGGCCAACAATTATATGAAGTATAAAAATTAAAGGCCTTCAAAGACTATACATTGATTGTTGTGTTTGATACCATGTAAGATCATTTTGCAGCAATAAGAGGAAAAGTTATAGCTGTTTTTGGTCCTTGTAATAATGTTAGGAGTCGGTCTAATGCAAGACTTCATGAGATGTTTAGAATGACTTTCAGCTAATACCACCACAAACTGCCACTCAAAAGTTGTATAGTTGACTTGAGTTATAGCCATTTATGTTTGCAGAGGTTGATCATCTGTGGAGACTATCTTAAACAAAGTTTCATTGAAATGGGTTTCGTGTTTCATGAGATTTTTATCTCACAAGCAAACAGGTCTTCTTCTTCTTCTTTTGTCTTTTTCCTCTTCAGAGGTCCCCACAGCGAGTCATCCTCCTCCATCTCGTTTGGTCCTCACTCCAACTACCTCCATGTCCTCTCTAACTGCATCCATAAATCTCCTCTTTGTCTTTTTCCTGGCAGCTGCATTTCTAACATCCTTCTATCAGTATACCCACTGTCCCTCCTCTGGACATGTCCAAACCTTCTCAGTCTGGTCTCCCTAACTTTATCTCCCAGTTGTTCAACCTGTGCTGTACCTCGAATGATCTCATTCCTAATCTCATCCATTTTTGTCACTCCTAAGGAGAACCTCAACATCTTCATTTCTGCCAGCAAAGATCTTGTACAATGTGCAATGCTTGGAGTAAGGGCAGCGGATAACTATCAGCTACTACTGCAGTGAATTTTAGCCTAACATCAGTACACTTACTGAGTTAAAGCCATTTCTGTGTTCCCAGTAGTCAGTTAGCTCTGGCATTCTCACACATTCTCACAGAGTTGGGTTGGTTTCTTAAACTGCGTGTGATGAAAAACTAAAATGCCCATGTCATTTGGTTTTCCTGACTTTGTTCTGCATGACTATTATTAAAAAACTTCAACTCCATAAATATATTTTTCTTGACATTATTTTTTTTTGAAATCCCACTCATCCAGTCAAATGCACCTTTCTTCTCCTGCCTGAAACTTAGACTGTGTGTGTTTGATTTGTATTGAGTCTGAGCATATGTGTGTGCGTGAGAATGTGTGTGTGTGTGTGTGTGTCATGAAGCTAGAGGGAGAATAGCATTGGAACAGGATGTATCTGTGCTGAATTGTGGCCTCTGGCATCACTGAAGCCCCCAAATCACGAGGCAGACACCCCTGCCTTCAGTTTCATGACACGTAGAATGGACTCATTGATTTTTATATCTTATATCAGTTTTTTTGTTGTTTGTAGAAGAGAGAGAACTTTTTCACATGATTAGCTGAGATTAATATGTCAGTAGATAATTTGTGATTTTTTTTATGTGAGCTAGAAGGGCAGTCCTCCGCAATGGCCTGTGTTGTACTTTTAAATGCAATAGTATCTTTGTTAGCTAAACCTCCACATCTCTGCAAATTTTATTATAATTGTTTATTATTACTGCTAGTTTTTAATATAATCCTGTTCACACAGACATTGAAACAAGCCGAAAACAGCTGAAAATCCTCTTTAGTAGTTATTTATGACAAAGAACTCAGACCCTCAAGAATATTGTTTTTCCTTGTTAATCACACACAGGCTGCAAAGCAGCATCCCAGATTTTCAGCAGTTTCTGCAATTCTGACATTATCTGATCAATTTACAATGTAAAAAATATGAATTCATACACTCTTCAGCACTGCACATTAATAGATGGACAGTTTGTGTAAATTATGTACGCACAAACACACGCAGCGAAGAGCACAGAAATGGTTGTGGAATAAGTAGTGGACACAAATTTGGCCAGAGGCGACAATACAATTATAACTTAGTGCATGAAATTAGCCTCCTTGTGTTCCCATTCCCTGCAACCAATCACATGGACAAGGAAACGCTGGGAAAAAAAAGACAGGAAAAAAAAGCAAATCAGTCTCTACTCACACTCTCTCAGCTGGGTTGTCAGAGCATTAAACACAATCCTGTTCATTATGCGCTGGAAAAGCAGTAATGAAAAAATGAAAATGCTGGCGCCGCGCTGATTTTGCTCGTCTGATTGACTATCAAGGCTGTGTTGTCTTCTTAGACTAACTGCAAACATCAACCTCTGTGTGGTGGCTACTGGTGATCTCCCAAATTTGGTTTATAAGTAATAAAATCATCAAAAGCTGAACTGTTTGTTCTCAAGAAAGTAAAATATGATAATTTTTTTTATTTGACATTTTTAATTTAATTTCAGACATATGTTGATTGAACTGGAATAAAAATATGAAGATTACCGGTAGTTATTTTAAAACACATTTTCTGTTATTAATGAATATGTTTTGTATGCAAATTGATACAAACACTATAGATTATATATAACTCTCTCGTCATTTGTTGTTTCACATCAGTAACTACAATGGGTTCGTCTTGGACCCAGCCATCCCGAGATAGTTTAAACTTTCCAGGGTTATTATCAGTTTGACTCGGGTTAGGTTTTTAATCCAGAAATTGTTATAAAATGACAAATTTTGTGAAGGACTTGCAACCTGTCCAGGGTCGTCTCTTGTACAGTGACTGCTGGATGTGGGCACCAGCGATCCCCCAGAACCACCAAAATTGAGCTAAATTAAAATAAAAAGCCTTATTAAATAATTACAGATTGATTTGATGCTAGCTAACTAGCTGGCATTACCAGCTATTAGCATCTGCTATCTGTTATTTAAAAAAAAAAAAACTCACTGTCTAGTACAAGCATGTTGTAACAAGTTGTTACCAAGAGAAACCAAATTAAACATTTTTTTTACGAGTTAGTCGGGGTCAGGTCTGATTTGGTCAACTTCTGGCCTAAAATGACGTCCATGAGAGAAAACTTAAAATCAGTTGATGTAATTTAGCCTTTATGAGTAATAATAAAGTCAGTATTTTTTTAAAAGATAAGTTAAAGCTTTAATAAATAAAACAAACTAGATAAGAAAATGTTAAACTGAATGAACTTTACTCCTCTCTTTGTGAAAATGTGTAATTATTTTAGAGAATTACATTGTAGTTTGTTGCTTCCGCCTGAAAAGTTTATTTTAAATTTGACAAACCAACAACTTGGATTAAATGTTTCACAGAGGTCACAAAAGCTGCTTTGCCGTTGATAAGGGCGACTCCACTTGAGTCTCGTCTTATCGATTCTCCTCAGGTGTGGGTGATTTAGCCACTGTGACTTGATTCCTCGCTCTGTGGGTGGGATCGTCAATGCAAAGTTTGCAGTATCATAACTGGTCATTGTGTTTGACCCATTTCGCCCATTGTGGAACTTATTGCCCTATAATGGGACTTCAGTTTCTTTAGCTTATCCCGCCACTGCTTATAAGTCCGGGTGTAGCCATGCTGCCTCTCTGGTAACTCTGTCAATGTGCTTTTTTCTTGTGGGGCCGTCCGTCAGAAAGGAAATGTAGGCCAGATGTAGTTTGCTGTTTTACTGGGCAGGATCATCCAGTGACGTAGCTCCACTGGCCAGTCAATGGCTGCTGTCAGTTGTCATCAAATTTGTCACCTCAGAGCAGTCTGCTTGGAACCTCAAACAAGGTGGTCCCATAAACCGAGCTGAGTGGGGGTGGGTACCAACCGTGGGCAGACCCTAAACTGGAGTGGTGTGGAACAGATGAGAGTTGAGACTGTGGCAAAGCACCAGTTGTATCATAGTTTTTAGGGATAAATTTGCTGTTTTCATTTTAACATCATTTTCCATTTTCAACACGAGAAGAAAATTGTGTAGTGATGTCGTCATGATTTTAACACAAAACACAAACGAACACAATCACATCAGCAAAGATAAAGACAAGATTGTATGAGTTTAAACGCTCTTCCATGTCTGTTTTCCTTCACGTCAATGCTACACATCCCCCACTTACTGATTACATATGCAGCAGGGTGAATGTTAGTGTGGGTGTGTGTGTGTGTGTGGGGGGGGGGGGGATTCCAATATATTTGTGTGAGATGCTTCTTAAATATCAGAGCTTATTCTTCACTTCATTTAACTTTCTAATTGGCTTGCCTTTTTGGCTGCCGTTAATTACAATACTTCATATTCCATTAATGAATTGGGTTATTAATGAGCTCATACACACACATACTTACAGTATATAAGTAGATGTACACACAGGCACGCTGACACCTACACAACAATGAACATGAACACACACCTCACATTACTGATTGCTGTCTGTTCATGTGACTGTTGCCCTTTCTCTGCTAAAATCAAACTCGTTCTCCAGAAACAAAGGCTTCATAAAAATGTGTTCAGTCCTTTTTTATTTAAAGATGTTGTCTTTCTGTTTTGCAGCATCCCTACCCATCAGAAGAACAGAAGAAACAGCTGGCACAAGACACAGGCCTCACTATTCTACAAGTGAACAACTGGTGAGTCATTTCTGAGTTTACGTACAGTTGATTTTTAGGGCCGGACCCCCCCGGGCGATCTGAGTTGTTAATGATTGGAATTAATGCCTCCCCTCCACCCCTGTTTTTATCTTTATTTTTATCATACTCACACACACACACACACTCACACAGCACTTAGTGAATCTTCCTCACCTAGATCAATCCATCTGAGGAGATTTAGCCTGGAGTGCTTTTTTTTTTTCCATCCAACTGACTAACTCAACCCAAACACGAGCGCCCGTGTAAATTAAATAGTTTTTGAATAAAAATCCAATAAAATCACCCAACATATGCATCTTATATGAGAAAGAGACTTTGAAAAGCGGTAGCTTAAAAACTAATTTTAGGGGTGCAGTTTGACTTACTAATTCTGCGTTGAAGTCCGTGTTCAGTGCAACTTTTTAATACTTTGCACTGCCAAAAGGTGCAAGGCAGTCATGTTTTCTCTGCTATCGCTGTGTACGTGCTTTATTGTAACATTAGCAAAATATGACATAAACTAGATGGAGTTTAATGAAGCTTCCATAAAGGAATCACTATGAACATCTGCAACTGGTTAAATTTTAGAGCCACACCATTTCAATATGACCACTCCAACTAGTCACAAAAATGGCTGTAGTTCAGGTCATTTTATGGATTTTGAGCTAAAGTTTGGTATGGTAGTAGATGAAAATCATTTGCAACACCTACTCAGAATGCTAGCACATCTCCTGAGGTTTTTTTATATCACATGAGATAACATCAATTGCAAAGTTGGACCTGAACCACTACAATGCTGTCGTCATAAAATGAAACGAGTTTAAACCTCTGGCATGAAAGGAGCAATGTGCATTCATAAATGGAATGCAGTTCACCATTTTTATATTTATTCTGGTTATTGCCAAAGGTAAAAAGAAAATAATAAAAACTAGGATTTTAAGTTTGAAATCAAAAGGAGGAATGTTTTTGCCATCATAGCAGGACAAATCTAATTAAATTCCAATTCTAATTCTATTAAGAATCAAAGTGTGATCCTTTTTGGTAATGCAGTTTCTTTTTATTTTTTTTTATCCTAGTGCATTTAGGATTTGAAGTTGTTAACAAGAAGCTTGACTCAAGTCCACAGCCTGATTGCTAACCTGCCTTTGTAAATTACTGTTCTGCAAGTGCCAACTAGGCAGCTAATTGGGTACAAGTGTGGCTGGCTGGGGCCATAAAATAAGGCTGCTAACTATTCATTTTAACCTTAGGTAACACTGTGAAAGTTAGAAAGGGCCCTGTGTCCTTGTGCGGTTAGTCTTATCAGACAGATTGATATCAGTGCATGCTTAGTGTTATTAGCCATGTCTAATTAAAGGGGCTGAGGTCTGGGTAACTGAGGCACAGCCCAGACAGAATGTGTTTGATCTACGCAGGCCTTAAAACATAATCCTTGGAAGTATTGGTGAGCTGCATGGTCAGTGAGTGAAGGCAAAAAGCAGGAGAAGTGGGAGCTAAACAGCTGGACAGAAGTGAAAAATAGATGACGAGTAAAAGAGTACGATATGAAAAAAGAGGGGAAGATACGAGATGATAATTTCTATTAACAGCAGTTTAATGACGTTAACTTTATTCCCAGCTGTTGTTCAATCTGAGATCTCCGAGAGGGGATGATGTGTCAGTCTGTAGAAGAATTATACATTGACACCCCACCTTCACACACACACACACACACACACACTCCTGACCAGAGGGAATCCTACAGAGGTTATCAAATCACGTGACCCTTCCCTCTAAAATCCATGGGGGATCAATTCCTACAGCAGTGATAAAGCCAAACTGTGCGTTCTCGTGTGTGTGTGTGTGTGTGTGTGTGTGTGTGTGTGTGTGTGTGTG